TTATCAAAATGCACTAATTCCTCAAAACAGAAATTCACACCATGGTCTTAAGTGAGCTACCATGCACTTAGGGCCTACTGTGGTCCATGTCATAAGCAGTTACGCCACTTGGGTTCAAATCCTTGCTCTTATCACTTACTAGCTTTATAATCTTGACCACATTACTAACTTCTTTATGCCTCATTCTCCTCAACTGTGAAACAGAAATACTATCAACCTACCTTAGCGGAGCAAAGTGAGTATAAAATGCTTAAAATAGTGTTTAGTGTGCAGTGAATGCCTGGTAAATGTCAATTATGAGCCATTATTCTAACTACAAGTCTCTAAAAACAGGCACCATCATCATCAATTTACAGAAGAAAGAGAGTCTGAGAGATTAAGAAATTTGCCAGTGTCCATGCAACTAAAAGGTAATGGAGCAATGATTCAAAAATTGATTCAGAGTCCATACTTTTTCCACTGTGTCAATAAAATCACATTCAGATTCATTAACTACGAAGAAAAACATCAGTCTTACTCAAAAATAATGACCAGCATAAGACATTTTTTATTGAGATTAAATTTAAACACAACTAAATTCAAGCATATTACTCAATTAAGGTTACAAAGCTTTTACACTAAGACAGACAACTTTCAGAGATTCTCTACATATTATTTTAACTGACTCTTATTTTTAAAAATCATAATATGCACTTTAGTTTCTGAACTTGTTTATGCATTATGCTGAAGCAATTTACTGAAATTCTACTAGAACTGATGTACAGGAGACGATAATAAGATGTTTAAGATAGAAATTATCTTGTATACATTCAAACTGCCTGGTTCTTATTCCAAGGTCACTGACTTTGTAAATGACAGATTTTGTTCCCAAGTCCCAGAGGGGCTTTGTGAACCCCTCTAACTTTTTCCATTTGCCCTTCCCTCATACCCAAGTTCTTCTTAATGACTCCTAAACATCTTACCTGTAATATTTAAGCCCAGGGTTTTTTGTTTTTGTTTTCAGACAAGAGACTCGCTCTGTGGCCCAGGCTGGAGTGCAACCTTCACCTCCCAGATTCAGGCGATTCTCCTGCCTCAAGCCTCCCAAGTAGCTGGGACTACAGGCATGTGCCACCACACCTGGCTAATTTTTTTTGTATTTTTAATAGAGATGGGGTTTCACCATGTTGGCCAGGCTGGTCTCTAACTCCTGACCTCAGGTGATCCACTGGCCCTGGCCTCCCAGTGTGCTGGGATTACAGGCATGAGCCACCACAGCCAAAGCCCAGTTTTTTTTTGCCTAGATTTTGCTCCTCCCAACACTCAGTAAGATCACCAATGACTTCTGCCTCACTTCTTTCTGAAGCCATTTCGCTGAAGTCACCAGTTTTCAACCTGTTATGTATTCTTCACATTCTTCAATTTGGACTTTAAAAACTACTCATTTAAGAGGTAGAAGGATGTCAGAGCAGAGCAGAATGGCTAGGACCTACTTACCCTACAGCCCCAAACTATGAGAACTGGAAGAGACTTAGAAAGTTTAGCCCAAAGTCTTCGGTTTTACAATGACACTGAGAGACAGCTCTAACTGGATGAAATCTTCTCTAACTCCTCTCATCTTAGAGAGTTTGGTCCACTTATAGTTCCTTACTTTTGGATTTTAACATTTTTTTCTGCTTCCACGGTTCAGCAACCTCTTTCAATACAATGATTATCAAAAGGGTTGAGAGTTGTTCACAGAGTTATTTTGAATACATGGTTCAAGTAATTCTGCCCCAATCTACTGTATGAAAGGGAAAGAAGAGGCTGAGAATATCTGCTCTTTTCTATCAAAATTTTGGCTATCCTTCATGTTACTTCTACTAGTCTTCTACAACCATCAAGTCAAGTCTCACCTCCTCCACACCAAATTTTTCTTCCTGTTCACCAAAGGAAAAAAAGAAAACCCTGTATTAGCATGCATGTTCAGAAATTTTAGGTTTTACTCTACTTTCCTAGACTCCTTATTAAATTACTAACTCATCAATTATCAGACTCTTGTTCACTTGTCTATCACTTCCTTGTCCATCAGTTCAGATCACAGACTGGTTGGTTAGCACTCAAACCACGAATTCTAGATGCTGCTATGTGTACAGTGGTGGCTGACATCTGTAATCCCAGGACTTTGGGAGGCTAAGTCATGAGGACTGCTTGAGGCCAGAAGTTCAAGACCCCAAGTTTTATTTATTTATTGTAGAGATGGGGTCTTGTTATGCCTGGGCATAACAAGACCCCATCTCTACAATAAATAAATAAAACTTTTAAAAAACTCCAGTTTCCCATCAACCAAATGAAGAAACCCCCTTACTCCAACCTTCTATAAATGATCATTCCTGCCTTCCTTTCCAGGCTTGTCTCCTGCAACAACTCTACACATGAACTCTGCTCCAGCCATGCTGACACATTGTTTCCTGAAAAAGCCCTATCCCGGATTTTCAGGTATTCCTTCGGCCTTTAATCCTGACACCTCCGCCAGCCTCTTCCCTCAATGTTCAGCCCCCAAAAACCTATCTTTGTGAAGCCTTTTCAAAGGTTTCTATTTCCTTCAGACTACATAGCACTGTGTTCATTAACTGTCTGATGGGAATATTGTGTTATTTATGTTTGTGTATCTCTCACATGCTCTCTAAATTATGAATCATCAGAGGGCAAAATCCACAATTCTGTTTTGTACTTCCCCATATTACTTAGAGCACAATGCCTGGCACACAGAAAGCTCTCAATACAGTTGCCAACTTGAAAAAGTGCTTTCCCAAGATATTTTTTTATAGGTTGGCCACCAAGCCCCAGTTAGCTTCTTATGCCATTTTATGAATATTTCATTTACACCTTGGTGTCTCAGATTCATCAAGCTAAACTACTCTATTTCTTCTCAGTATATAAAAGAGACTGTCCTAAATTCAGGGGTTGTCCCCATTGAAATGGTCTGTATGAAAGTTCTATTCTAACGTCACCTGGTCTATCTCTCAAGCTACATATCAACTAAGCAAAACTCTTCCCCCACTAATGCTATCGTAAAAATCAGAATTTATAAGAGCCACAAAATAAAAAGAATATTCCTTCGGCTCAGAGTCACCTTGCTCGAGAAAAAGAAAAATCATGTGGTGATTCTGAATTGCTTCAACATAACTGAAAAGTAAAAAACTGAACAGAAAGAGACTGAAATATGCTGTGAGAGCACCCAAAATACATATATAGAAAACCTTAACATATGTAATTCTTGTGAGTCTTCCCTTGGTAACAGATAATGCTGTTAATAGCCATTACCATATGTTACTCAAGTTGAAGTCTACCATTACTTTCAAGTTGGCAAAATTTTTTAATACAGGCAATTCAGTCCAAAAAGCTTTTTACAAGTGTTTCTTCAATGCCAAGCAGGGACTGGAAGCTAAGAGCACACGGACAAATACAACAAAGTTTTCACTTCATAAAGTAAATAATCTCAAGTTTTCTCCACTTTAGTACACACTCTGTCTACAATACTTTCTTTCCCCCTTTACCAGTTATTTCCATCAGCCATGATTTTGTCCGGATCGCCTGTCATCGTATTAGAAAAAGAGGTTAAAAAAGTTTCGTGGATTTTTTTTTTTTTTTAAACAAGGGGTGGGGAACACACCATTCTGATGACATGAAGAAAGAAGGCTTCGGGGGTGGAGGAGGGGGCCGGGGAGAAATTATTTCTTCCACACCCTTTTGAAAAAATCGCCAGTCTACTATGCTTGTCTATCAAAGCCCACCTAAAATATGATGTGCACAAACACATCAAAAATAAGTAGGCCTCTCGTAAAAGCGACACTTAAAGAAAGGCAAACCATATCGGATTATTTCCTATTTTATTCATAGAAATGACTCTTTGCAGCACTGAAACATTTAAAAACACTCCTGGATATAATGCTGGTATTTCAATTTGAAAAACTTATCCTACGGATCAAAAGATCCGTGCAATGACAAAGCTAAAAATGTTCTCTCTCACTAATAAGGGTGAATCACAGCAGCCACCTACTCCACCCAACAATCGTCCTTGCTAAGACTGGACAGTTCAAAACCTGGAAAGCTTTCCTTGTCCGCTCCACACTAGAAACGAATTCACTTCAACAGTAGTGTTTAAGCACAGCTGTGCAACAGCAAGGAAATGTTATTATTAAATGTTGAAATTTACCAGGACATTGTGTTCTTCAGATAGAGCTGTGCCCTTTTCACATTTACCGAACTCCCCTCCTCTCCTGTTTATAGGGGGTGGAGGGGAGCGCAACAGATACTCTTGCTTGAAAAATAAAGTATCTGTTCAGATTTTCGAAGTAAGTTTCCATTACTGGGTTTGGGAAAAAATCCCTACTACATTGTCTGTAACAAAAAGGTGCCTGCGCCTTCTTTCAACTGCCTGAAGCCATTAGAGAGCTCACAGATCTCCCCGCACAAGAAACTTGAAAACGCCTTTCAGTCTCGCAGAGACCTACTTGGATGTTTCCAAGTTCCATCGTTTGGTAGCTACCCAGCATCTGGGGGAAAGAAAAAAAAAAAAAAAGAACTTATCCTTGGAAAAGCAGCCTCTTGAGTCTCTAGAACCGGAGACACACAGAAGGGAAGCCAGGGCTCACCTGAAACCCTCCACCTCGGCAGAGTCCGGTAAGCCCCGGCTCACCTTTCTTTCCGTGCCCGCGAAACTCTCAATGAAAAGTATCGCACAAAAGGCCTCCCCTGCTCCCCGCGCCGAGGACTCACCAGGACCGTGGTGCAGATGGATCTCAGCTCGGACTCCACTTTCTCCCGATAGTCCTTAATCAGCTGCAACTTCTTGTCGGAGGTGTCGGTCTTCTGCTCGATGCTCGAGATGACCCTCCAGGCGGACCTGCGGCCCCCGACCACGTTCTTGTAGGCCACGGAGAGCAGATTGCGCTCCTCGTTGGACAGCTCGGCGCCCTGCTCGGTCACTGCCTTCATGCAGGTGGCCATGTCGTCGTAGCGCTCGGCCTGCTCGGCCAGCTTGGCCTTCTGGATCAGCTCAGTCTTCTCCATGGCGGGCGCGGGGCCGGGGCCGGGGCGGAGGGCGAGGAGAGCGAGGGAGAGCGCCGACCCGGAGCGGGAGGAGCCTCGAGAGCTGCGGAGGGGCGGGGCGGCGAGGCGAGAACAAAAAGCAGGGAGGGAGCGCCGTCAGACAATGCGGCCCGCCGCCCGCTTTTGTCTCTCGCACATGCGGCCGCTTGAATTTCCCTCTCCCCCGCCCCCGCCCCCGCCGGGCGCCCGGGGAGGCCGCGGCCCGCGACGGGAGGAGGCGGGGGCGGCGCGAAGGCCCCGCGCGCACAGAGCCCGAGCCGCGACCGCTCCCGCCACCCCCGCCCGGCCGGCCCAAGATGGAAGCGACCGTTGGCCCCGCACCTTCCCGCCCGGAGCCGTCCCTGAGGGGAGCGGAATCGACAGCCGGCTGCTCGCGAGGGCGGCACCTCCGCCCGGCCCTCAAGCCCAGAGCGGCCGTTGGATGCCCGCGGGCCGACCCAGGTGCTCACCTTCACGTCTCCGCGGTCGCGACGCGAGTCCCACCACTTTGATCTGCTTTTGGCTTTAGCTGAGGACCCTCCCGTCTCAGCCTACCCCGGAGCCGAGGGGCGGTCCGCCGCCCAATGATGCGCCGAGCTTGGCCCGAGAGTCCCGCCCCCCGACGCGCCGCTGGCCAATGAGGACTGAGCGCGCGGAAGGGGGCGAGGGGGGCGGAGCGGGAGGGAACGCGGAGGCTAGGAGGGTGGGTCGGCGCGGGGAAGTTCGGTTGGCCGGCAGGCTGCAGCTTCGGCCACGGGGTTTCCTCCAATTAGATCCAGGGTAAAAGGACGTCACTGTTGCCATGGCGATGCCGTTACCAACTCCCCTCAGCCTCCCCGCCACCCCGGCACTTCTGGGTGCGGCACGAGACCCGGAGGCGCGCACGACCTCCGAAGCGGCGACCACGTCTCCCGGTGCGGATGGTGCATTGCATCTCAAGGTCTCTGGCCGAGTCTGAACTGGAGGGTGACATATTCAGCTGTTTGGGAGCACAGGGGCCTTTCTTTCCTCCACCTTCCGATCTGTGACAAAGGTTTGGATCCCAAGATACTAAACCCAGACCTTAATCACGTTGCCATTAGGGCTGGGAATTAAGCAAACCGCATCCCTATTAAAGAATAATTGATTCCTGGAGACAGTGGCTTCAGTATGGCACGTACGTGATAAATTCAGGTTTTCAGATGGGCACCCTAAAACAAAAACTTCCCTTGTGAAAAGGTAGGTCCCAGAAGATCCAGGCGAGTCTCTGTGACAATGCCAAGTATTGTGGTTTTCTTTAAAATGGGAAATGACATTCAGCACAATCTGCAGGAAAACACCTAGAACCACCCCTTCCCACCCCCCCACAAAAACCCTGCCCATAACATCGCTCCCCGCAAAAAAGCAATTTTTATGTTTCTTTCAGGCTTTCCAGGTTATGCATCTAAATCCATAATTTTTCACATCATTGTCACATGCGCACACGCTTTTTGTTTCTGGTATTATTTGTAAGAGCACACTTGAAAAGCCGAAATCCTCTCCCTGGATGTCGATTTCTGATTTTCTCCTCCTGGGGAACACCCTGCTGAAGTGAGAAAGATTTCCCCAGGCCCCTCCCATTCAGGGTAATCCCTGGCAGCTCCCTTTCCTTTTAAACCACTCCTGTCTCTCTTGGCACTCCAGTCCCCTAACTCCATCCAGGTAGGGTGGCTGTCCTGCCCGTCTGGCGAGTGGCCTTTGTGCCATCTTAAGATGCGAATTGCCCTCTGGGTTCACGCTGCTATGATCCCGATTCCAGCAGGTCTAGGGAGAATGGATCATAGAAGGCCCAAGAATGCCACAGGCAAGAAAGAATTTCCCATTCTCGGTGGAGACCTGAGCGAATCCGGAGAATCTCTAGAATGGGAGATCTGAGAGTGCAGACAGATGGGAGGAGAAGGTGCCGACTTTCCAGAAATTCAGACTCCCTCTTGACTGCCCCTCCCTGTCCTGACTTGTAAAGGTTGCTTTGTGCTTTGACAGACAGGAGCGGCCTGGATTGGAAAGGGCCTGTGTCTTAACGCAGAAATGCCTTACTATGTTCCAGCCTTCTAATGGAGGGCCCTGCTGTTATTTCTGGAATCCCTGGGGCCCCACTGCAGACACATGAGTGTTTATGGCCCTGTGGGCTGGGGTGGAGCTGGACACCGAGAAATCCCAATGGAAAGAATTTGCATGTGGAAGGTCAGATAAAATGCCTTCTGTATGACCAGTGAATTTCAAGCTCACCAAAATTAGAGGCAACCCGGGCAAGGGGAGAAGCCAGTGGAGGTGGATGGGGGATAGAGACCCTGGAGAGGAAATCGTCAGGGGATGGGACCTCTGTGGTAGGGAGAGGTGCTACCAGAAGGAGCAAGCACACTAAATTCTTTGTCAGAAAGTCTAGGCTGTGCTGCCGTCTCCCCCAGTGACCTTGGGCAAGTTTTTGCTGCTTTCTGTACCTCAGTCTCTGAAATTTCTGCTTTCATTCAATCAAATATTTATTGAACACCAACTCATCTGGTTGCAATCATCTAGAATCATGGGTAAAAACTGCTTCCAACCAATGATGCAGTATAAAATTGCATTTTAGGAAGATTCAGAGGACCCTCTGCATAGCTAAAGGCTTCTGTGCCTGAAAGAACTCGGGTTGGAGAGAAATAAGGCTCTGGGAACTTGAAGTCCCTGGACACAGAAAGAACTAATGTGTGTTGAGTGATTGCATGTGTCAAGCACTATTTTAAGTCTTTTAGCGAGAATTAACTTATCCAATCTGCTTAATGCCACTACAAAGTAGGTGTTATTATGCTCACCGTCTCTATTTCACAGACAAGGAAATGAAGGCACAGGGTGGTCAAGCATGATGTACAGGGCCACACAGCTAGAGAGCGGCAGAACTTGGATACGGACCCCATGCAGTTTGGGTGCCAAAGCCCATCTTTTTAACCACTGCTGAGGCTGCCTCACCAAGTCTCCCCAGATCTCTGCTAGGTGCTGCAGAGAACCTAGGACAGATCAGACCAGCCTCTGTCTTCTAAGAGTTTCTCCCTAGTAAATATGAAACCTGTTAAGCATCACATCCAACATACTGGGAAGAAGTGCAGGGAACAGACAGCTAGCAAAGGGAGTACTGAGAAATTATTACCTTATTTATGAAGTTCTTGTTATTTTTTCTAAGTTACCTGGTATGAAGAAACTCCTGGAACAAAAAGGAGCACATTAACATGGAGCCAGAAGACCCTAAAATCCAGCCCTGCTATTTATATGTGATTTGAGCTTGGATACCTTGATCTTCTGTGAAACTCAGTTCCCTCTATCTGTAATCTGGAAAAATAATCCCAGCTGGGCACAGTGGCTCATGTCTGTAATCCCAATACTTTGGGAGGTTGAGATGGTGGATTGCTTGAGCCCAAGAGTTCCAGACCAGTGTAGGCAACATGGCAAAAACCTGTATCTACAAAAAAATATAAGTTATCTGGGCGTGATGGCGCACACCTGCAGTCCCAGCTACCTGGGAGGCTGAGATGGGAGGATCACCTGAGGCCAGAAGGTTGAGGCTGGTGTGAGCCATGATTGCACCTCTGCACTCCAGCCTAGGCAACAGAGTGAGACCCTGTCTCAAAAATCATCATCATCATCATCATCATCATCATCGCAACATCAAAGAGTTGTTTGGAGATTAAATGAACTGTCACATAGGAAAATGCTGAGCATATAGCAAGTGTTCAGTAAATAGCATTTTCTTTTTTCCTTCTTTCCCTCTGCTTGGGGATGGGGTACAGCACTGGGGGGATGCTATCCAGCTGCAAGGAACCTTAGAACTTTATTAAATGTTTAGTGAAAGCTTATCTCTTGAATCATTGTTGTAATTAGTGCAGTTAATGGTCTACAGAATGGCTGCATTCCATGTACATTTCAGAATGAATGAGACCTGGTTGAGCTCACTCTCATAAATTGTTTCAGTGATTTATTTACTCAGACCAGTGGATCGCCAGAAACTTCTTCCTTTCCTGCCATATGGCAGCTAGTGTAGTGACAAGCAAACATTTGAGTGGGACTTTTCACCCAAAATCTTCATATAATTACTATTGGTGCTTCTGTGCAGTGGGCAGATAAAGAGTTGCCCCCACCTGGCCTGTGGGTGCTAAATGAGGTTTCGCAGAGTCACAGATAGATGGGGAAATCAAGGGAGCCTGGTCAAGGAAGTCTTTCTACATATTCCTTAGTTTGAAACTTTATTCACTTTGTTCAAGGTGATGGTTAGTTGTATGTGTCAACTTGGTGGATCACAATACCCAGATACTTAGTCAAACACTATTCTGAGTGTTTCTGTGAGGGTGTTTTTGGATGAGATTAGCGTTTAAATCAGTGGACTTTGTTGTTGGTGGTGGTTTTTTTGGTTTTGTTTTTTGAGACAGTCTCACTCTGTCACCCAGGCTGGAGCGCAGTGGTGTGATCTTGGCTCACTGCAGCCCTCACCTCCCTGGTTCAAGCGATTCTCCTGCCTCAGCCTCCTGAGTGGCTGGAATTATAGATGTGCACCACCATGCCTGGCTAATTTTTGTATTTTTAGTAGAGACGGGGTTTCATCATGTTGGCCAGGCTGGTCTTGAACTCCTGACCTCAAGTGATCCACCTGCCTCAGCCTCCCAAAGTGCTGGGATTATAGGCGTGAGCCACTGCACCTGGCCTAGATCAGTAGACTTTGAATAAGCAGTTTGCACTCCCTAATATGGGTGGGCCTCATCAAGTCAGAAGACCTGAAAAGAACACAAAAAGCATCCTTATTTGAGCAAGAGGGAACTTTCCAGCAGACTGCCTTCAGACTCCATCCGAAGCGCCGGCCCTTCCTGTGTCCCCCGCAGATGCTTTTAGAACTAGAAAGGGAACATGAGCTCTCCTGGATCTACATCCTGCTGGCCTGCAGGTTTTGAACTTGCCAGCATCCGTAACTGTGTGAACAAATTCCTTTTAATAAATCTCTCTCTCTACACACATACACATACATATAAATACATGTGTGTATTCTATTGAATGCATTTAGTAACCTTTTTTTTACCCAACAAATGATATGGATATCTGTTTCTTTTCTTTGGAGCCTCACTCTGTTGCCCAGGCTGGAGTGCAGTGGCATGATCTCGGCTCGCTGCAACCTTTACTTCCCGGGTTCAAGCAATTCTCCTGCCTCAGCCTCCTAAGTTGCTGGGACTACAGGCACATGCCACCACGCCTGGCTAATTTTTGTATTTTTGGTAGAGATGGAGTTTCACCATGTTGGTCAGGCTAGTCTTGAACCCGTGACCTCAGGTGATCTGCCCACCTTGGCTTCCTAAAGTGCTGGGATTACAGGTGTTAGCCACTACGCCTGGTCAGATATGGATATCTTTTAATAGCTTTTAATGTGTGTCTGCAACATACCAGTCTCTCTTCTCTCCCTTACCGGACCATGAGCCTCTTGAGGGTAAGGGTTTTTTTTGTTTGTTTGTTTGTTTTTAAATCTTGTATTCGGTGACTGCTCAACAGCTGGGTAAACTTAGCTATTGTAGTTCCCACTGGCTGACTAAACTGATGCTCAGAGAGGTTAAATTACCTATCCCAATTGGTAAACTTTAGAGTTAAGACTTAAAAACAGGTCTGTCTGATTTCAATCTTCTATTACAACAAGCAAGAATCTGTGCTACCTGCAGTGGAAGACAGAAGCTCCAGTGTTTGCTGGCCTGGGAACAATGTTTAGTTATTTGAGGCTGGTGGGCGGCTGAATATGTATCTACCCGTGAGTCAGAGGCTGATTTTATTTTCATGTAGAAGGCTCTGTTTCTATGCTCAACACATCCAGCAGCGAAAGAGGTGCATCCTTGTCCCTTGTCTGTTCCCTTTAATTGTCTACATGGTTCCCGTCCTCTCCCACTACCACCATCAGACTGCTACCTCCCAGTGGGAGAAGTTACATCTGACCTGCATGTCCCTGGTGACTTTACTGGGCCACAGAAGGCATTCAGTGAAGGCTTGTTTGGAGACTGGATCCAGACCATTCAGGATGCGTTTCCAATAACGCTGACCATTGGCCTTGTGTGCTTACTATGTGCCCAACCATATGCAGAGTCACTAGAATAGTAAAGCCACAGGAGGAAAGCACA